TGGATGACAGTGGTAGCCAGGCACCATCTAGTTCTTCTGGTCTCATAGTCGTATAGGTTGCAGATTGCATGGTATACCAGTCGATAGGACTAATTATTTCCATTAATTTTGGTTTTCTTCATTCTTCTTTGCTCTGGATGAGGAGAGACCCATCGTTGCATCTAGATGGCAGCTTGCTAGCTTTTAAGATCTCACTCGCTACTTGCCAAAGTAGAAGGTGGAACAACAATGTTTTATATAGTATGTTATGCCAATTGAGCTATATGTCCCCTGCAACTATGGTCCCAAGCCAGCAGGTTCAACTACTCGGTCCCTCTGGGTAGCTGGCTGTGACCAAGCAGTGACCACAACATTCCCCTTGTCAACTCTACTATACACCTGGGAATACTGATCCTTCACATAAACTTATAAGACCATTGTCTGCCAACCTTATGTATGTTCTTAGATACACTCCCCATTTCATAGACATACCTAATAGTTCAGCCTGTCCACCCATCTATCCACCCATACACCCATGCTTGCCTTCACTGACAACATAGTACTGTATGTGCAAAAGGGTTCATATTTGTTGTCTGTACCTCCCATGTACCTCTCTCTGTCTTTCTCATCCTCAATGCTGCCATATTGGTCACTCACATTTGGTATATTGCCCTTCTCGTCACCCAAATCAATACTTATCTCTATCTAACTAACAGCCTTCCCTCCCCTCCCCTCCCCCCCTGGTAACCAACAAAGAAAATGTCCTTCAATAGATAAACCTTTCCTTAACTTTTACAATGACGGGCTAATACAATATTTGTCCTTTTGTGATTGACTTATTTCCCTCAGCATAATGTCCTCCAAGTTCATTCACGTTATGCGGTGTTTTGTAGATCCTACATTATTCTTTAGTGTTGCATAGTATCCCATTGTGTGTATGTCCATAGTTTGGTTATCCAGTCCTCAGCTGATGGACACCTAGGTTGTTTCCATCTTTTGGCTATTGTATAGTCTATTTATGCCATATATTAGGGCCCTTACATTTGCCCCTAGATTTTCCTTGAGGAACTGTATAGTTTCAGGTTTCACATTTAAGTCTTTGATCCACCTGGAGTTCATTTTTGTGTATGGTGTGAGGTACAGAACTTGTTACAACAGTCCATTCTTCTTGCAAGTCTCTTAACTCCCTCACCATTTAGAAGTTCTGTGACTAGACAGTCTTTCCCCTCTTTTTTGTTTGTAGTTGGCATCACTTGCCAATCGATGTCTCTGGTTCCGTTTACAATCTTATAAGCTCATTTTACTTTGGGTATGTCCATAGTTGTGGTTTCTCAGTTATGTCATCTTGTGAATTAATGGTCGGTTGTTATTTGCTATTTTTGGTTCTCTGTTCAGAGGACTCCCTTTAGCATCTCTTGTAAAGTTGGTCTGGTTTTAACAAATTCACTCAGTTTCTGCTTATCTGGAAATCTCCTAATTTCACCATCATATTTGAGGGACAATTTTGC